CCAGCCTCCCTGGCCTTGGAGCGGAGGGTGGGAGATCTGTGTATGGCTCCAGTCTCCCTGACCCAGATCACGGGGAGAGCAGGTACTGGGGACAACAACACTTTGCCCCCAGTAAGCCTACAGCAGGCATTCTGAGAGCGGAGAGTGGGCAGAGCCAGGCTGGCAGTTTTGGGAAGGCAAAGCTTTCCCCTGCCTAGGCTACAGGAAGGAAAAAGTCCCCCAAGCAGGCCCAAGAGAAGGATTTTACTCTAGATACTTCATAAGTCTACCAAATATTCTAAGTCTGCGTTCTCTGAGATTTCAGAAAGCTGACCACATTTTCACTTTGTAAATTCACAACACAGATGCAGGCTTGTGGACTTGAACTGCGTGGAAGCCTATGTTTATCAGAGCTATACAAAAGAAACACATTTTATTTTAGGGATAAACTGGGCTTCCTGCCTGGTTCCTGATGACCTGCTAAATGAATATGGTTACTGATTTTTGTTTCCAGAGCCATTTTTAAAACCTTCTCTCAAAGAGGATTTAAGTATTACCTTTAAGGAGAGACTGCAAAATTGTGCTTTCAGGTATAGTGCTTTTACACTAAGATCCCCACATTTGATTTCTCTTGTTATGTAAGAGAAAATTTAAACCCAAGTCTTTAAAGATAAAAGGCTTGCACACAAATTGACTGTACCAGGTAGTCCCCTAAAGCTTGGCCTTTAATCACATAAATAAATACCTCCCAACATTTTGGCTCATCAGTCCTGAAATGTAGAAAACTCATCTTGCATGTCACTTTATTTAGATTGCAAAACAAGATATTCCGTCTGCTACAGGACTAACAATTTCTTTTTAAATATTCTACAATCTGTGGATAAGGTGTTCTACCCATATGATATTTGAAGACATGGCAATTGAGTTTGTTGAAATGCTCAGCAAGTTTTGAGAGTATCCTTAATTTAAGCACCTCCACTAAGTGAACTCTCACTGGGGGAGTTTTTACTTACCAGGGAAGGGTAGTTGATCACAGAAATATGGAACCCATATGGGAAACTTCCACCAATTCCCAGCACTAAGATCATTTGACACAGTCCCCGATGCTGAATCTGCAAAGTGAAGACAATTCTCCATCAACTTGTCATAAATCTTGGTTCCCTCATGGTCTTGCATCCTTGTCTGCCATACTTACCAATTCTCTCTAAAAGCATAAGTTGTCTTCACTACAGATACTTTCAGATGTAAACATTCTTCCAAAAACACATAATCCCACCCCAAAAGCAGAACAATTGGCCATAGGACCAGATTAAGGCTAAATTTTACCTAGTGCAGGAAAATTATTATGTATTGAAAAATTATCTACATATCTTTGCTTAGAAGCAAGGTAGCAGAAATTAAACAAAAAGTTCCCAGTGGCTTGACTCTTGCCATATGGATCTGAGAGCCAGTGTGACAAGCCGACAGGAAAAAGGGCATCTGTCCAGGTAGGATGAGGTTCTAATACCTTGAAAATATGTTTGATCTGAGGAAGTGGGTCTGGCCCACGAAAGCTCATCATCTAATAAACCATCTTGTTAGTCTTTAAAGTGCTACATTGTCCTGCATTTTGCTTCAGCTACCCCAGACTAACACGGCTACATTTCTATCACTATTGAATATGCAGTTTGTTTACTGTTCATAAACCATAACTGTTTTACCCCCAAGGCCTCTCCAGATCAGACTCCCTTGAAAGTAAAACAAGACTTTCTCTCTCCCAGGCTTAACATAAAGCTGTACCCCACAGCAGCATTGCAAACACAGAATTTTTAAAAACAACCAAACCTTTCCGTCCACCCACTCTAACTTTAAATATAATAGAAAGATACCTTCTTCTCTCAGCATTGGTAGAGAGAACAAGAGAAAACAACTATATGCTGTTTACCAGACCCTAATTCTTCTCTTTATCCAAATTCTACTGGCTCCAAATCCCTTTGAGATGGACAGATGAAAAGTGAGGTATTATCACCATTCTGAATGGTAATAGGCGTCATTATTTTGTAATTTTCTAATCCTCTGTGCTCTTCTGTTTTTCCCTTGTAAATGGGCTCTACTTTACCAGCCTTTAGGGCCCCAGCTGGTAGTGCAGGTTTCTCTCTATACTTTTTCTTTTTGTCCCCCTTCTGCTGCTGTTTAACTCAAACCATTTTGTGATCCAGTCATAAAATGAGTCTTGTACTGTATTGCAAAGAATAGTCATAGCTGGCCTAGTACAGTGGTTCTCAAACCTTTTGGACCAGGTGGCTCAATGCAAACTTTTCTGCGGACCACCAGCTGCTAATGGAAACTCACTGTTAATTACATAATTACATCTGAGCTATTTTGCTAGTGCTGCAGCTTGCGAGAATTTAATTTAAATTTTTAAACAAATTAGGCGTTTTAACTTTTCCATGTTAGTTTATCAAACTTCATTTTAAATAAAGTAAAATGTAAGTAAAATATTAATTTATGTCCAATACAAAAGGTTTCAATGTTTTCTTTACTTATGGCAGGGGGGGGCAACCTTTTTTGGGTTGGGAGGCCACAGACCCACAGAAAAATCAGTTGGGGACCACACAAATAAGAAGCAAAAATACTCCTCCAAAAACCCCCCTACCCTCACTGATGTGGCCCCCAACTGAGACACCTCACTCCTCTGGACCTCTAGCCCCGTCTGGGATGGTGCTAAAAATGAGGGATTGAGTGTATGGAACAGGACTGCCAGTGAGTGGGATAGGGATGGGGGTGCAGGAGGTTGGGTATAGGAGGGGGTGAGGGTGCAAAGTCTGGATGGGAGGCACAATGCAGGAGCAGGCTGGGAGTACAGTGTCTGGCCAAGGGGAAGGGAACAGAAGCAAGGGAGGGTGCAGTGATGGCCAGGAGGGAGGGTGCAGGAGCAATGGTGGATGCAAGAGCAGGGTGCGGGTGGGTGTGTGGGGAAAGATGCAGGAGCAAGCTAGGGGTGTGGAGTCCTGGCAGCGTGAAGGGAGTGAGTTAGGGGGGTTGGGACACAGGGGTCTGAGCATGAGAGGGACACTTATCAGGCTCTGCACCCCATTGCAGCGGGGAAAGCCTCCGGACGGAGCATCACTGCGCTGCCGTTCCCCCAGCAGGGTGTGTGTGTGTGTGGGGAAACTCAACTCCCTCCTGGCCAGCGAGTAGCTCCTGGCTCCCCACGCCCGGGCCCGTCCATCCTTTGC